ATGAAGTGTCTCGTTCCAAAATACCTCCTACGCAAATTTGGATTGAATGTGATCATTGCTTCCCTGGTGCTGCTGAAAGAAGAAAATAATGCCCTGCTCACCAATATATGATAAAAACTCAGCACTTCATATTTTCAGAGAGCATCTTTGATATAAATATGCAGTTCATTTTATTTCCAAGTATCATTGTAAGAGGACTTCCGTATTCCTTGACGGACTGTAGGCATAATTCATCTGATCCCCTGGTAGAAACGAGTCCAATTTATTCACAGAATACATGCACAAGATGATGAGGCAACTACCTTTAAGTTAGTGACCTTTTCTGCTCTTAATTTTTCTGCTGATGGCTAAGGGCAAAATTACCCCAGTATTCTCTCTGGTTGTTATCATTGAAGAATTGTGATGGCATTTTAAGACTGGCAGAAGAGGCCAGCAGGAGGTGTGGAGGTTAGGGGAGCTGGATCTCATATGGCTGACTATGCGTTTGAATCCTGGATCCAGCAACTTGAGAATCATGCTGGGCATACACCTGCCAAAAATCCTAAGGGAAGAATATAAGAGAAGGGATTACAGCATGGTCATCCCCCCTTGGGGATGATTTATCTTTCTCTTTCATTTGCTCTCTCTGCAGAGAAAACGTGCCTTATGGCAAAAACTAAAAAAAAAATAATAATAAAGAAAATGGTATAAGAGTGATCATTGGGAGCAGGATGAAGACTATAGAAGCAGCCTAAATAAACACATTTGTCTAGCTATTGGCTTTCTCAAGCCCTGATCATTACTAATTTTAGTTCTGAGGAAATAGGGGAGCGTTGGGGGTGGGAAAGATATGGAAGCTTAGCTGGGGTAGAGGACTTGGCAGTATATATAGAAAAGAAGCATACCCCATGGTCTTTTACACCACTGTCTTACAGCAGGACCAACCGAGCAAAGCAGCAGAAATACTGTAATTTTAACTTGTAGTGTTTGGGTTAAGAACTACATTGAACTAAATTGATCTAAGTTGAGGAATGAGCTTAGGACACATATTGACATAAAATGATCACAGAATTTATTGCAAACAGTTCAAATGATCATCAAGTGGAAAGTGGCTGAAAACCTTATGGTATGTCCAAAGAATGGAATACTATTCAGCAAAGAAAAGGAACAAGCTACTGATACATGGTTCCTCTTAAAAGCACTGTACTGAATGAAAGCTTCTAGACATAAAAGACTACACATATTATATGATACAAGTGATATGAACTTAGAGAATAGGCAAAAATATAGTGAAAGGAAGCCAATTTATGGTTTCAGGGGTTGGGTGTGAAAGGCAGAGATTGACCAGAGAAGGATAGGAGGGAACTGTCCAGGGAATGGGAATGTTCTACATGGTAATTACTGTGACTATGCACATTTGTCACATCTCATCACCTGTAACCTCAACACTGGCAAATTTTGTTGTGTGTAAATTGTATTTGAATAAAACTGATTAAATAGGAAATATAATAGAATGGATGGATAAGAGAGGCTCTCCATTAGTCTGTTAATTGTATTAACAGAAACACTTGAGACAGGTGGATTGTAAAGAAAATAGAGGTTTGGGGCCAGCAGGTGACATGGTGGTTAAGGCATTGGACTCCAACATGGTTGACCATGGTTGGAGTCCCAAACCAGCAGCTGAAAAAGTACCCTGGGAGCATGCGCATAGGTGTCCTAAATGCTTAGAGGAAAATAGAGGAGAAGGGAGTGTGGCATGAAGAAAGGCATGGCTACCCCCCTTGGGGATGATTTCTTACCCTTTCTGTCTCTGGTGAGTGCATGTGCCCTATGCTCCCCCCCCAAAAAAAAAAATGAGAAATTTATTCTCACTTCATGATTTGAAAGTCCAAGGTCCTGGGTCCACGTGGCAGAGGACAGGCAAGATCTTGAGCAGAGTGGTTATCCATATTTCTGTGTCTTGTTCCCATCTCATTACTTTTCCTTTTTAAAACAATTACTCATTTAATTTTATTATCATTATTATTATTATTATTATTTAATTTGCTACAGGGCACATACACTCAGCAGAGAAAGAGAAATGAGAAAGCAAGCTGCCAGGTCCTGGACTTGAACTGCAATTGTCCATGTGAGAATCCAGTACCTTAACCACCACGCCACCTACCCCCTTCTTTTTGGAGAGAGATTTATTGTAGGTGTATGCACTTGCCAGAGAGATAGAGAGACAGAAAGTAAGAAATCATCCCCCTCAGGGGGTATGACAATGCCATAATCCCTTCTCCATTTCCCTCCTGGGATTTTGGGCATGCATGCACACACATCCAGCATGAGTTTCAAGCCTCTGGGTCTGGAACTCGAACTCTGTTTGGTCCTGTGGGAATCCAATGCCTTAACCACTGTGCCACCTGTGGAACCTACCACCCCTTTTTTAAAGCATTTAATTTTTTAAATATTTATTTAATTTTATTTATTATTATCATTTGAAAATTTGCTATAGGGCATGTGTACTCACCAGAGAGAGACAGTAAGAGAGAGGAAAAGTGAGAAAGCAAGTTACCAGGTCTGGGACTCAAACTGTGGTTGGCTATGTGGGAGTCCAGAGACTCAACCACCTTGTTACTTGTTAGCCCCTCGTTCCTTTTTTTTTTTTTTTTTTTTTTAAGAATTTTTTGTTTTTTATAA